GATATTGGTGTCTCTTTACCAGATTGAGCAATTGATCATCATTACTGTCAGAGACATTTTGTTTGTCTGTTTTTCATTGGGATAGAAAGTCGTTCTGGTTCAGTGATTGTATTTTCCTGTCATGTCTCTTTCCACCACCCAATGGAAGCTGGTCGGGTCCGGTTCATTATCAACCTTTTTTATCCATCTTCCAATGATAATTTCTAGGAAAATAGTACATCATCTAACGAAACCTCAAAGATTCTCAAACTGGTTCCTTAAAACTAACAATGTCTTCTCTGGGCCTTTCAAACCAGGGGCGGAGCTTGATGGGGGGCCAGGGGTGCCAATGGCCACCCTTAGCCAATCATTGGTCATCCCGGCTGCGGTCACCCCTACCATTTTCCCCCCCTCTAATACAGATGGTGGTAGCAGTAATACACTCAAGTGGAATATTCAAAACATTTTATTTTTTGTGGTTAATTATACACATCAATAAACTAACATCAAAGATGACAAGTACATAATTCATGCTCTATTTTAGAACTAGATTTTGTGTTATATGGGGTAAAGATAAAATGATGTGTCTTTGCAAGTCATCTAGGAGTCCTCAGTGAAATCAAAGATAAATAACAATTTTAATAAAACCTTATAAAATAATCAATTTATGTAGATATTAGTGCTTGTAAATATAAATTTTATGCAGAGTGATTATTGACACAAGGTAAGTAAGTAATAACAATGATTGATTTACACCCCAGAACTCAAAACTGAGTTTTATCCACTATACCTTTTATCTATAAATTACGGATGTTTAAATGTATGCGTCTATTTGTTAGCAAAGGCTGTAGGAAAGTATAGCTAGTCTTTATTTAGAAAATATGGATGTTTTCCTCGTTTATTTCCCTGTTGGAACAGTGTAGATTGACCCTGAGGTTCTGGTGCCGATCCGCCGGCCATCCCTCAGTGTACATTGGTTATTGCCTGGCTACCCTTATAAAAAATTCAAAAAGTTAAACCTGAAGACATCCTTCTGTATGTTTTAAAACCAGCTGTGTGATGCAGATAGTCATGTAAATCTGGAAAGAATCTCATCAAAATCTCACCAAAAAAAAAATTATT